GGTTGTTCGGAGGCGGAGGGGGCGAGGATGCGGCGAAGGGGGAGGGGCTGTCCGACGAGGAGGTGGTGGGGCTGCTGGACGCCTGCGGGAAGAGTCTGAAGCACGTGGTGTGTCTGTCGGTAGGCGGCGCGTCGTCCGCGGGAGGGGGCGGGGGGTTGTTCGGCGGCGGGGGCGGAGGGGCGGAAGACAAGGGGTTCCCGGGAGAGAGCACGGCGGAGCAGGTGTGTGCCTTGGTATTTGGTGGATGATGGTGTTGTTGGTGTCACTTTCGTCGTAGTAACAGATGCTCTCTGTTTTTGTGTGAGACCTGCGCGCTACTGCTGCTTATGTGATGTCTGTCTGTCCTCTCTGTCTGTTGTTTGCTGTTCAGTTGTTTGGCTGTCTTCGTAATAGTCTTTACGAGGCCTGCGTGTCGTGCGGCCTTTGACTGCCGGCCGCTTTTTTTGTGTGTGTTTTTTTAGGTCGTCGTTCACCAGCTCGGCTCCTTCATCCGTTGCTGCTGCTGTGCTTTCTGAGCGTGTGTTTTCTTTCTGCACGCGTTATTTTGACGTGATGTTGTGTAACTTTTTGTAGGGATCGTGACGATCAGGCTAAGGGTGTTTGTTTATTTCGTACTTTTTATGTTTATGTTTAGGGGAGCGAAGCACCGACACTTCTTTTGAACTCTTTCTCGCTCGCACGCCGCCCCGCCCACGACGTAGAAATGAGTATGTTAGATATTTATCACCATCCTCGAGGAACAATAGCGTTCGTTCGTCCACTGCTGCTGTTGTTATCTCGCTAGCACGCAGTCAACAAAAGGGCTTCACTGTCGCACTCTACACGCACGCCGTGCCCCCCCCCCCCCCCCCCCCCTGGTCGAATGGCGAAACCCCCTGGTATCGACGAATGTTCCTGTGGGAAAAATGGTCTATCCTCTCCAGGACGGGGGGGCCATGGGCTAACAAGTAAGGGATGCTAAACATGAGTAAACCCCCCCTCGCTCTACTGGCGACCACCACCGGGAGGGGGTGATCCCCGTGGCGAAGGCGAAGGGGGGGTCGTTCACCACCGTGAGGGTGTCCAAGCTGTTGGGGCAAGACCGCGGCGCCATCGACCCGATGCCCCTGATAGTCCCGAGGAACATTCCCAGGGCGGACGGGCGGCAGGTCTACCCTCCCGCCAGCGTCGCGGTCCGTGGCGGCAAACACCATCTTCAGGGCCTCCTACCAGGTGTGTGACATGACGCAAGAAATCACCCCCCCCCCTGGACCGGTTTTCGAAGCTCGATTGCTTACTATTTGAGGGACGCTACCGGCGTTGGAGCGGTCTCGTCGAGAGCGCTTTTCCATTAACGTATCGTTTGATTTTGTACGTCCCTCTTCGTCGTGGAGTAACTGACCTGTGAAAGTAGGTCGCAAGGGTGTGTATTAATAGTACCGTACGTCACGTGCGGTGTTTTACCAGTCGCCGGCAAAAGTATGCTTGCTTTTGATTAATTGGAGGAATGGTGGTATAACACTCGCACCGTGACCCCCCCCCCCCCCCTCCCACTACGTGGATGGAATGGTGCCAAGCGTTTACTTAGTTTTCTCTTCCAGTTTTTTCTTCCAGTCTAGTTTCAGCTCCCGTTGAAAAAACATGGGCGAAGACAAGGACCGGTATGTATTCCAGGGGGAAATGGAACTTTTTCGAGAAAAAGGTAAGAAATTGCTATATGTGACCACGGGAGGGTATTGTTCCCTCGGCCGAACATACGGTTCCTCCGGAGCAGTGGCGGGGACCGTGAGGTATCATGGGAGTGACTGTGCACAGCACAGCGCCAACGCAGACACACTTCTGACTCAGGGTGGGCTCACGCTACGCTGAGCTGGCACGCTGACGTAGCATGAGACAGCTGACATGGCAGCTGACGGTATCGCTGCGACCGACATGTTGAAGACACCCAGCGGACGGGGTATCTCGGAATATTTTCAGCCGGGGGCGATGGGCAACACGTCCAACCTGGTGTAGCAACTTTTCTTTCGTTTTTTTCTTTCCAGCCGGAGGTGAGGCGCAACACACCCAACCCCGTGTAATTTTTTCTTCTTTTTTTTTTCTTTTTTTTTTCAGCCGGAGGCGAGGCGCAACTCGACTTTCGCGGTGTCCGACTTCCCGACCTCCTGGCCGGTGCCCTCCAGCGGCTGGGTGGACGAGTTCCTCAAGCTAACCGGGCCGGAGCTCCTGCGCATCCCCGTCCCGGCGACGTTCGAAGGCCTCTCGGAGGGGTCCGGAACGTTCCATGCGTGGGCATTCTTACGGGAGTGGGCGCAGCTGTGGACGGAAGAGGGCACTGGTCTTACCACGCGGGTGCGTGGTGTGTGTTTTGCTAGCGTGCATCGGTGCCCCCTTCTCCGGGCCGTGTGTTTTACGGCGTTTGTGTGTTTGTTGAGTAGCGTCGACCGCGCTGTCCGATGAAGCAGCCGCTAGCCGCGCTTAGTTGTGTGTTTTGCTGGCGTGCACGGTTTTGCCCCTTTCTCCGTCCCGCGTGTGGTATATTCACCGCCCCCCCCGTCCACAGGTGTGGGAACAATGCTCCGTCCTCTGGAGGAGGTGTGGTGAACATTCTTGCAACCAGGACGTGCAAAACATGAGAGCACGCCCCCCCCCCCACGCCCTCTTTTTTTTGTATTTTCAGGTGAAGGTGTTTGTGGACGAGGAGGCCCGGAGAGCGGGGCTGTACTTCGACCCTTCCCAGACCAAGTACCTCTCGGCGAAGGAGGAGCGAGAGGCCGAGGAGCAGAGGGCCGCCAGGGAGAAGAAGAGGGGGTCCAGCGGACCGCCCAGCAAGACCCGGAACCTGCTCAAGAAGGAGGGCGGCGTGGACATCATCGTGGTGAGCAGATGGATGACTTAGGACGGTGTGTGTGTGTGTGTGTGCGTGCGACGCATTTCTCGAAGGGGCACAGGCCTTTGTGCTACTGTGCTGAAGTCGGCTGCGCATCCGAACCATTTCCGTCGTATCTGGACACACTGTTGCTGTTGTTGTTGCTGCTGCTGTTGTTGTTGTCTTCACATTAAGAACCGTTCCGATCTCTGCTCAGTACCTTTTAATGTCCGTACTATACTATACTATACTATACTATACTATAACAGTACAACTGACGCGGAGGCCTTGCTTTACCACAGCCTACGGTAGCTACCCAAATTAGGGTACATGTTTCGAGACAACGGTTAGAGAACGGCGTAAGGATATTTTGCGCCCTTTTTTATCACCCCCTGTTTTGCAATTCATGCGCCGTTTTATTGGTCTGTTCTTTTGTTCAGGGAGCGTTTTGTACCCTTTTCGTTTTGTTGCTGTTTTACGGAGGATTTTGTCCCCTTTCCTTTGTTCTCTTTTCGAACATTTTTTGCGTTTTTTTTTTTTTTCAGGAGGACAGGCCGTACCCACGCGTGAGGGTAGTCCGTGCAAACATGGGCCCCAAGACCATCGTCAAAGAGATGTCGGAGCAACTCATTCTGGACAAGCTCAAGAAGGACGTCAAGACCTGGATCGTAAAGCAGCCACAGACATAACAGCAATGGGTAGGGTTGTGTACCAGGCTTTCGTATTTGGTTGTGTTTTCGTCCCAACTGTCTTCTTTTTTTTCCCCGGTTTTTACACCTCTACAGCAGGTATTGTGTTTTGAGAGGCTCCAGCCAGGGTCACACAGGAAGAAGGTTAGTGAAGCACTGGAGCGTGGATGTTTTCTTTGTTTATAAATAGACGTGCCAATGCTCCTGTGTGGGTGTATACTTCGTAGAACGGAGACGGAGACATGTCGGTGTTTGTGGTCCCGTGGCCAGCTCGATCGATTGCTCAGACGTTGGAGTGGGTCACTGGCAGTTACCGAGTCGGGACAACACCAGGATGTGAAAGGAAGGACGTGAAGTCTTCGTGCCGCATGAGTTTGGCGTGCACGGGAGCAGCAGTCAGTGTGTGTGGAAGCCTTGTTTAGAGCCGATGTTGTTTTTCCTAGGCGCTATGATGTTGACAGCTTGTTTGTCGACACACGCACACATGAGGGAGAGAGGCAGAGAGAGAGGCCGAGAGAGAGACGGAGAGACAGAGAGATGGCTGTTTGCGAGGCGGCTACGGTGCTGACAGGATAGGAGTAAGGGGAGGGAGTGGGGGGGTCGAGCAGTGGTGGATTGGGGTTGTTGTCGGTGTTCTCGTTTCGAGGTACATGAGGATGCGTATGTGATGGTCTATTAGTCTAGGAGGAGAGGACGAGGGAGGGGTAGTCGCTGTTTCTGAATGGCCTCTCTTTGTCGTTCATCCATGCACAGGCACTGCATACAGGACCCTTGCATTCCCTATGAACTCGAGACGGAGCATGTGTCTGGCTTCTTCGTGCTATCAGCCTTCTGGGGCGGGTGGTAGTGGTGGGCCGGGCGGGGGCGGTGCTCATGTAAACGCATGCCGTAGTCGTTAGACCCTTGACCTCGCATCCCTATAAAGGCCGGGACGGAGCGATATGTTTTCGGCGGCACAGGCTAGATATGTTCAACAAGGACGAACCACGAGCTGGTCATCATCCTTCCTGGGGGCAGGGGGTACAACATGGAAACCCAGAAACCGTTGAACGAGTAAACGGAAGTAAGTGGAAACAAGCCTCACTTTTTCCCCGTGTGTCGGAGCATTGTGGGCTGGTAAAGCAGTTGATGCGTAGATAGATGTAGGAGACAGGGGGGGCGCGCACGA